GTGGACGTCTTCGTACGGTCAAAGAACACATAATGCTACAGTATCAGCAAATTCATGACTGAGGGGTGTGGGTGTGGTGCATATGTGGGATTTAGTCTTATTCACCCCCCCCCCGCCCCCCGCCCCCCCCCCCCCCCCCCCCCCCCCGCCGCGAAAATCTCGCTTATAAACTTACACTCACCATTTTCTTCGAAAATATATGTGAGTTCCACAAAACTATCAGCAAAGACGTAGTAAATAATACTATGTCAGAATTAAGAGTAAGCCTACAATTTTGCACACTACTGTATGTATACGGCGTATTGAAGTTCTGACCACCCGAGAAGTTTGATTAATCTGAGTTATTAATGAATGAATTTGGTAAGACTATTGAGAAAAGAGATCCTTTTTCATAGGTTTATTTCGTACTGCCTTAGGCGAGTATCTGAAGTGTAGGCGTGCCTGTGGGATGTGGATGTGCGTGGGGCCTGTGCTTGTGTTTGAAAAGGAGGCTGGTGTGAGTTTGGGTGAGATGTGAATCTGAACAAGAATTTCTCTCTCTGCTCGTGCTGATGTCCCCATCAACCAACATCCTCACCGCACTCTGACTCACAATCTTATTCAAGCCACATCCGCATCCATCGCCGGGCTTTTAATTAAATAAGAATTTATAAATCAATTACAAACCATCTCATTGATGATCTTTACAGGCCGTGACACTCTGACTTCAGGGCAATCGCTAACGATGACAGATACTGTGTCGATATACACGCCACAACTCGCTGCTCTTCTTCTTTCCTCTTCTCTGTTGTTCTCTATTTCGTCTCTCTCTTTGTTTTAGTATTATATATAAACGTGTTGAGCGTGCAAGAGGCACATTCTGAAGATGGAAAGTAAATAATAAACACCTTTACCGCGAATAGTGCTTAACTACTACTGCAGTCTTTAATACTTTGTCTTTTTACTTGTCATGACTGACGGGCTCCATATGCACCACTGGTCTCGATAGGCAAGTCTCATACACACCACACTGTGATTGAAAGGATTCAGATCGATTGCATATCGTAAAGGACCCTTTCTCTGCAGATATTACCGATGATGAAGCATGCATTTAGGGGCCATCTGAGATCGTGACCAACACTGACAAAAATAAGGGTTCATGATTTTGCAACGTATAATAAACCCTTTTCCCCGTTTTTCAGACACTTAATATACCCTTTTTACATGTCATAAACGTTTTTCCCGTTTATTATTTTCATGAAATATCCATAAAAAGGGTTTATTATACGTTGAAAATTGAAAAACCCTTTTCCCGTTTATTGAGGTGTCATAAACGGTTTTTAGTTTATTAATACCCGGAAATTTTTTTTAGTGAACATCGACCAGAGGTAAGCGGAAAAGGCATATTTCTTTACTTCTATATATTTCTATGTACTCCCATGTGTTCCCGTGTCTTGCGAAGTATGTCTAAAACGTAAACTTAGAAACAGTTAGTATCTCCTGAAAAACTTGTAAATGCATGAGCATACATGGAAATACATATAAATACACTTTTCCCTCGATAATGGTCTCATATATTGTAGAAGATCTTTTCATAGAGGATTAGTGATTATATTGGGAACACCTCACGAAAGTATAGTGGCTGGGTTTTCATTGCGGTCATTGTACTAAGTTTGAAACGATGAATGAATGGATAACCAATATTTTCGTAGAAATTAAAGTTTGCGTGATTGTTGGGAGTAGCCATACCGTGTCTCACATTTTAACCGTATAGGAATCATCCTGGCTGCTTCTCGAATGGGATTCATTGAAATTCTTAGCGGCCTCAGGCGAACTAAAGAGAATTCGAATCGAGTTTTCATGATTCATTTTGACTTCTGAGCTGTGAATAAACAAGGCACATAGGGAAAACTAGTTGTTTGAAACCAGTCTCTTGCAGGAACTTTCCAATTCTTTTAGGTCAGAGTCACTATTTTTCTATCCATCTTACCAGATTCAATGACATTCGGATGATATATTGGTGTGATCATGCGGAACGTTGGTACTTTGAATGGATACTCAGCCGAAATGTTAATTTCAATTTGAAATGCACCTAGTCTGTAGTTCTCCGACATTGGAAATACACGCCCGATGATTTTATCTGATTGTGGTTGCTGGGACTCTTGCGGTTCATCAAATGGAGTTTGATCAAGTATAAACTCGACTGGTGTACCATTTTCCAACTGTTTTAACTTCGCCACTTCACTCATCAGACGCCTACAAGCTTTGTGTGGAACTGCCGCAGTTTTTGTATCCTACCAAGCAGCAATAGAAATGTTTACCGGACATGCGACATAATATTAATTTGTGATAGTACATAAATGGTGCATCTTCCTCTTTTAATACCAGTAAACTTCGTTCGAAAAACTATGACTCAGTCTCGACCAGATAACACGGGATATCGGCGAAGAACAGAAACGATCTGTCAGTCAGAAAACGGTAGGAGAGGTGTGGGTGTGACTGTAGGAGAACAGAATACTCAAACTGATGCCCTCAGCCACGCCCAGACCACACCATATGTTACGTTTGCTATATGTATATTGTGTAAAGGTGCGATACTGTTTTTATTTTCATAATGAATCTATTGAAATTTTAATTGTATTCTCCAAAACTTTATACCATACATTTGCAGATGCCCGAAATGAATTTTCAAAAGCGATGTTTTTTAACTCTTGACCATGGAAGTTATATCTTGCGTTTTGCTGATGTACAATAAAACTCTTTAAAAATTCTACATAACGCTTTATTGAAAGCGATGGCAACAAGAAGCTAAACATAATAATGTAAGAGCTTCGAAGTTATCATGTTTCTACATGTTTTGATATGAATTAACTTTTGCCAAAAAGGTGAAAAAATTATAAGCTTATTTGAAATCAAATCGTTTGACATTGTGAAAGCCACAAGTCCAATCCCAATAAAACAAGTCATGTAAAAACCTGATCCTAAGTTCAATAACATCACATAGTTCTGATAGATTACAAAATGATAGTAAACTGACTTTGGTTTGTTTTTGTGGTAATACAATTTGTTATCAAATGGCAATCAATGAAAGTACCATGATTCTAGTCATTGACAATCGTTCTTTTCAGACTTACATAACTTGATATTTACATGATAATGTGTCTATAGCTTTCACGTAAAGGTATTGTAGTTGCCTCTTTCTTTAAGTTACTTGCATAGTTCAAGTGACGTCGATTTTAACCGAGTGGTTTTCACCTGAAGCTAACTGTTTGGTCGGGTAAATAATTATTAGCTGAATTGAAAGGTGCTTTTTTAATTTGCCTAATGATAAATGCTTTTGAATGTGAATGGTTTTGCTCTACTCCTAGTTTCATATACTTTCAGCTAAAAAGGAGCATAAGATCTCTGTTTAATGGAAGATCGAAATTTTTTATAGATTTTTCAATTAGAGACCTTTTATTGTAGAAATGTAGGTTGAACTTACTAACTAAGAGGACTTTTTATGAAGGTTACTATTTTCCTCTATGATACTGTTACTCTGATATTGACTTGAAAAAAATACACGACTTTGACAGTCAAGCCACGTCGAGGAAATCAGAGTATAGGCACAGGGAGGCTACGAGGGACGTAAGTCTGTTCTAGACAAGTCAAGCCGTGAAAAAGTGGGCCAATTTGGACTTCTGTCACATGTGTTAAAATTGTAACTTACATTCAATTGAAATTCCGACCTTCAGGTTTCAAGTTTCAAGTATGTATGCCCACAAATGATTTACACTGGTACTCGACAGATGAAGGAGCCTACCGGTGGATTTATAAAATTGAAAATTGAAAACTAAACTGGAAGCTTTATACTCAAAACCTGGAGATCTTTTCAATGAAATTGAAGTTCCTTGTTTGGTACTACTGAATCCGGTCTGGGATGCATCAGTAAGAATTTCAGTGTACTATGGATCAAAGCCCATTCATTCTTACCTAAAACGTAGAATTCTGGAGTCACTCGACGTCGGACTCGATCGCTTTCTATATTACCCTCAGACAAGACTAAATCATCTGGGATCTACTTCTTTTCAGATATTATGCTTAAAGTGTGTCAGTCTTATAATATTCTTAAATCGTTCATAAACTATTGTGAAGTGGTGAATCGACCATGATAAACGATGCAGGTTTCAGTTTAGAGTCTTCTTCGATTATTACTCAGTAAAAGGAAAATTTCTTCAGTTATAACGACTTATAAAGTTTTATCAAATTTCTTATTTTGAGTTACGAAAGCTATATGTATGTTTGTAGGCAAAATTTCATCTTAAATACTGCGATAAATTTAGACCATACTTTAAGATCCTTTTTTTCTTTATTGACCATCGTTCGCGTGACAGGTCGCTGCTTATTGGTATCAGTGTTCGAGATTTGAAGATTGTGTTTGAAATCGATATGATATTTTTCCAACATGGCATAAGTTTTACCTGTTGAGTATGCTTCTTCTATGGTTGTATTTTCTACATCTGAATAAGGACATAATTGAGCCGGTTGTGACTGTGAAAACGGAGACGTACTCGCATTCCACATCCACTGAATGCGAATAGACGGATCATTCGACATGTCAACGACGCTGGCCATAAATACTGTATTTTAACTGATAGTGTCCTAAAATAAGTGATGTTAATTCAACACACTTATCTACAATTCGAATTAATATGACTAGGGAACAGAGAGATCTTCATTATCATTAGTCTTTAACTATTTGCTCCTTCGACTGTAGGAAGGGTCATACGGAGAAAAATGCCTTTGTTACTATGCATGTTTGTTCAAGGTCAATGGTCAATAGTTAAATTTACTATCAAATATTCTTATTCTAGACACGTGGTTGTAGGGAGAGGAAGTTCTTGAGTAAGGGACTAATAGGTATGAGGCGCCACCAAAATCTACCAATCTGATCAAAGGACAACAAAGTCGAGCGAGCAGATGAAAGGAACCTAAAACTGATCAATGACGATGACGCTGAGAAAAGTTCGCCCAATTCACGTTTCAAGTGAAGTAACGAGGGCTCGAGGATTGGAATTTACAGTTGATTTCTCAAAGTTTTCGTTCGAAAATATTTCATTAATTGTAGACTACTTGCAGAAAAGGAAAATACTCTATTCGTTTAAAATTTCTCCAGTATTATTCATCAGACGAAATATACGACCTAATTGCATTAAAAGAGCTGGGCATCGAATAGAAACGAACTTTGCACCAAACATGTGATTCTTTCTGAAATAGATTTCCACTACAACCTACAGGTTGACCCTTTGAAATTCGTTTGTTGTCTCTCACATCAAAGAGCATACGCAATTCAACAATAGTAACAGTGTATTCTCTTAATGACACAGATTAACGCACACAAGCAATCGTGGGCTTTTGGATTGCCGCATTAGTGCAGCATCGAGGGAGTCGATTATCTATCGGCCTTACTTGCAAAAATAAGCGCAACAACACTTTCGCAGATTTAGGTTGAAAATATCAGGATGTTTTAAAAAAA